AGGTAGTCTACATCTCTGTTTGTCGATCACTTTGCATGATTATTTAGAATTACGTACATACAATTATTATTAATATAGAGAAAAGTTGGGTTTTGTGGAAAGAACGCGTCTATGTACATAGTATATTGAAAAAAAAAACAGTTTATTGTATTTTTCTTCCAAATAAATTTCACATAATATGATTTTACAATTTTTTTCCGTAGTAATTGAACACCATTGTTGATATGGAGACTGCAGTGCAATGTAGTCATTTTAATTAGATTTCTTAAGACTAAATTGGACATTATAACGTCATTAAAAATCACGTATTTAGTATCTAAATGATGAGGACATTGTTCACCTCACCATTTAGATACTATGAATATTATATTTTTCTGAAAGCTACTGCTTAGGCAACTGATTGTAGAGTTGGATAATTACAATCGACCCACATCGACCCGCCTGCCTACCTGTGCCGCGTAGCAGTAACATATCTGCTATTAACTGAATAGCAAGTGTGTCCGTACACAATCTTCACCTATATTTACAGTACGTTAATACTCAGGAGTGGGGCGAAAGGTGATTGTTAGTGTTAGTAATGTGAACTGATGAGTCAATTGCTAGCAATGTTAGGTTGATCTCCACGCTGTTCTTCCTGGAAACCAACTTGATAAATTCTTGGAGAATCTGTCATGATGGACTAACTGACCTGACCTCATGCTCATCTTATCCTGCACTGCTGGTCCACCAGCGTAAACTGTTAGCGCAGGCGGGTGTAACTACCCACTATTACCCATTACAAATATAATCTTCAGGAGTTTCAAAACAATTTCGCATGAACTTGCATACTTTTGAAATTGTCATTAAAAATTGTGTAGATTATAAATAGAAATGACCTATTTCATAAAGAGCAGGATAGAATACATAAACAATTATAAAGGATATTGCAGTATGATAAAATTAATATTATATTTCCTTAGTTGGTTGAAATATCTATATTACGGGCATATAGTCATTCAAGATAAGGACGATCAAGATGTGAATACGCTGATTACCCCGAGTTATCTCCGCGATAGTGTTAGGACCGAGCGATATTTATGACGTTGGAAATGTAAGAGCTATCGAATACTGCAAAATGGTATGACCTAGAAAGTGACTTTGGTATGACATGAATGGATGACCAACATATTATATGAAAATACTCAGTTGCCTCTAAATAAACAGAGAATTTTTAGCTCCAATGGAACTTGGAAAATTTCCAATATGTTTGCACTGCACTAGAAATATTTTACGACGTTCATATCATTATTTAGTTTAAATTTGATCAACGAGCGATCGAAACGTTGACCCCTCGCAAAAGGTTATTTTTCCGACGACCTCGTGCGCTACTACAAACGTAGGAGTTAATTAGAGCTTTTTAAAGGAGAAATTAAAAAGAAATATCGATCAAAGACAAGTCAGTGTTTCATTTGTATCTAGGGCGACAGAGCGTGGCGTTGTGGGTAGCGGCTACAATCTTGGCCTCAAAGCCTGACCGGTTGCCATCTTTGGCAGCGACCGGTTTTACCAGGCCATTCTTTGTAGCTAACAGTTTACTCTCCAACTAATATTTATTTGCATCATGATTTATTTGAACATTTTTGTCGAACTGCAATTAAGTTACGCGGTGAAAGAGCCTATAAGAAAATAAAAGGTGATACCTAATTTAATAATAATTATATTTCTTTATGTATTAATAATAGCGATGGTAATAGAAATAGTAGTTATTAAAACATAGGTAAATCTATTTTTACAGATATAAAACAATAGCTACGGAATATAGATAGTATTGTATGAGTTCTTAGAAATACAATCAACATTCGTATATTTCCAAATGACTAATTTTAAATCGTAATTATGACGCAGTACACAGAATACTGTAAAATATAATACTAGTAAAATATTGGGTACGATTAAGGAAATCTTAATAAATACTCACTAATAACAAAATATCTACATTATATATATATATCTAAATATCTGGTTTGCATCCAACCATAATATCTCGAATATGGAATCTTCACCCGTATAAACCTGAGACCAAGGCGTCTAAACTCGATATACTAGCTGTAATATTAAATTAATTGCCTTCATTCTCAGTTGCTGACGTAACAAATATTGGATTTCATCATGTATGTAGTTTGGAAGGTAAATTTTCCTAAATTGTCCTCATCACTATTTATTGCACTTACATGTCTTTCTAAACAACCATTGTTTTTATCTCTCTGTGTATTATGATTTTTTTTCATTCTTTAGTTATGAGTTTAGAACATAACCGACATCAAGTAAGCATTTTTGAATTCCTATATTCTTGTTCCCGCACATTTTACGTCCATGATAGTGTTTTATTACATTGTGTTGTTTAGATAGCATGAGTGTATCATGCTGTGGTTACCGTCCCAGTTGGCGGTGGCGCCGCCGCCGACGCCGCACGCCCTTGTCGATGATGACTCACACATGCTGACAGTCATGCAGGGCGAGCGGGCGACGGCTCTGAATCACTGCACCGCGCCGAGCCATACTAATATGCATATGCACATACTGATGTCACATCGCAGGTAACAAAGTCAACCATTGTATGCTATTCACTATTGTCCAACTGAACTTTTAAAGTCTTCATAGTGATTGTTAAAACGTTATTGTTACACGCTTCGAATAGGTTCGTTTATTTAGACAAAATAGGCATAATAACTGAATTTGACTTAGTTTTTCGTGTGAGTAGGAGTTGTTGAAAGTATGTAAGTATACATGTGGTATATAGGTCAACTTTTTAGTAAGTACCACAGATACAGACTTTTTTAGTAACTGGAATGGCAAAATAGATGGTGGCATACCTGGTAATTGACGTCTACTATGTATATAAGCACTGCCATGGACTATATGTCGACGTCATCTGGCGCCCATAGCATTCCGCATGTGTTGCTTTACCGGAGAACTAGATTAAGATGGCATGTCTCCATATCCAGTAATTCCACTGCCATATTCCATTCTTTTAATTTAATTTGGGTTTAATTATTAAAAACAATGTATATTTGCAATTTAAGATAAATTATTCTAACAAATTAAATTTACCATTACTGATTCAGTACAATATGAATACTGCTTACTTATAGGTATCTATTAATAATTTTATATGTATATTGTTAACGCCATAATTTGTTTGGAAGTTCAGCCCTAAATAGAGACGATTAGGGGAGAAAATTTATTCAAATTAGAAACAGAATTAAGTAAGTATTTACACGAATGACAACCATATGGATAAATATAATTTGAAATAACGAATGTATTGTTATGCAAAATGATGGATCAGTTGAAATGTCCCTCCTAGCGCTATCTGGTGTCGTGCAATAGAAACAAAAATATTAACGGCGCGCCGCTCCGTCAAATAACGGTTTGCTTTTGGGTCGTGTCCGATTTAGCAAAAGGGTGTGTAATATGTAAGATAATGTTTATCTACTAAAATGTATTTACAGATTATAAGGAACATATTAATGAAAGTGGATTACTTATATTTTTCTACGTAAATAAGACGCTATAGACAAGTATTGGTCTTTTGTTTACTTCAATCAATATAAAATATATCTATAATAATTATTGTTTTATCCTTATCAGTATTAATGCATGCGTAAATATAATATGGCACTAACAATATGTATATAAGCGTAGACAACAAAAGTAGTACAACAAAGAGATCGGTAAGATTGTACAACCAAAATTACCAACAGGAATTAAGTCCATTGCTAATAATGTCTAATACCTATTAATGTTCGTTACAATAAGGTATTGTGTGAAATATTGAATAATGTTCTAATTGTCATTATGTAGATATATAAATACATATGTAATATTGGTAAAGAAAGTCTTTTAAGAAAGGAATAAAATATTTTATTAGCATAAAATATTTTATTCCTTTCTTAAAGCAAAACTAGGTTACATTACATCGAGCATATAGTTTGAACACATCTTGACAAGTAATAGATAACACCGTTTACCATTACTGGAGAGTAAGTCGGATATTTAAATAGGCACAAGGGTTTTAAGTGGAATATTTTATATGACGTCTATCACATAAACCCATTTATTTATTCCTATAAATAAATGACTTTAACAAAAGGGCGATAATTTAAAAACCACGAACAAATTATTAGGGTTATTAATATAACCCGCCTAGCTTTATCTGTCCATTCGGAGTACAAGTTTATATAGTTAGTCATCTAATGAATATTATTTGATGTTGTTTAGTTACTGTTGCTAGGTATTCGAATATTTTCCTTACATACAACATATTTTGTCAATTATCCTTATTTATATAATATGTATATTATAGGTAATAATTAAAGTATTATTTATTCGTATTATAGCTTGTAAGTCTAGTGTTGACTGTCCGGCTACCAGACTGCAACTAGTCTGTCGGAATTAAACAAAATTACTAACTTTACTTAATGGATTTATATTATAATTCCAAGTAACGGAAACGACATCTGCAAAATAACTCCTAATTTGATAAAAAAAAATTAAAAAAATTACATATTGGGTACTACTATCATGTCGTCGAATGCACACAAAAATGCAAGCGTTATCATGTTTGCTAAAAGATCACTGCAGGACCTAAGATTTTACAATTGCAGATAACACATTTTATAAATAATATAATTTAGTGATAAAACACAGTTAAAGATTTTAGTCTCAAAATGTGATGCGGTCGGAATTGGCAACCCATAAGAATTTATATTGGCTACTATAAATTCAACGATGTATACGTTTCATCCCAGGCTATATCTTTTGTTGGCAACAGGATATTCAGATATTAGGACAATCGGCAAGTAGATTAACGTTACGTCCAAATTAAATCAAATACTTTCTCTATATTTTATGTATACACTTACAAATGTTCTTTATGAATTGGTTGCAAACATATTAGGAAAATTAATATATTAATATAGAAAGCTATGTATTTTATAAAGATAAAGGATATCACTCACCTTTCCGTATTAATAAACTAGTAACCCTGCGGAGCGCCTCTCTAGGTGACTTCTGGAAGAACTTAGGCGTTAAGTTCGGTGGCAATGTTAGGGGTTTCCGAGCACCAGATCCTTCCCACTGAGGAGGCTGTTCAGACGCCATCTTAGATGCAGTTAGTCTATCCAAGTGCTCGATTGAAGCCGGCCTGTTGGCAAGCAGTACCAGTTAAAGCAGTGATATGATTTGTGAGCTCTGTAAACGGTTAAGTATGTGCAAAATTTAATAATTCAGAAATGGACCCTTATATTATATTGCAGAGTTAAAACGTTATGCTGCTATTTATACTAATGCCGACTTCGGCATTTAGTATAATAAACAACACAGCCAAGTCGGCAATTTCAGTATTTGCTAATTTAAAAAATAAAATTATTTGTATTGTGATTTTATCATTATCATCTGTATATATCGCAACATAGCAACCTCATTCTTGAGTAGAAATCTCTTCTTAGTTTGCATAATAAACGGATATTAAATGAATATAATATGTTTATAGATAATATTATGAATATTATCTTACAAGTTAGGATTGTTCCCCATAACGACTGGACAGCTTTGTAAGAAGTTTTGTATGTATCTTTTTTTATCTGAAGTTACAATGACATCGAGTGATAGCTAATATTGTTAGATATATTATTATTAATATTCATTATAATAAAATAAAATAAATATATAGTGATGAATGTAACCTAGCGCCGTCTCTCTGATTAATTTTTGGTTTGTAAATGATTTTTCCTTAACATGAGAGTTGTTGGTCGGCCATTATTAAACTCATGACGTATTATGTGTAATTAGGGTGTTAAACTATATGGCATACAATATGTATACTAATAGAATAGGATAGAATAAATCTTTATTGCTAACAGTGTACATTAATTAGTTTAATTTATAGGTACGTTGTATGTTCGTGCAATGCGATAAGGTAGTCATATATATAAACACACATATATAATAATTATAATGTAGCATATATGTGTACAATGTATTAACAAAGAATTTGGGAATACATATATTGTGCACCGTCGTTCGGTAAGGGTACGTCGTGTATTCTTCACCCCAACCTATCGGACGTACGCCGGTGCACGAGCGCCTCTTCACCATATTGTTGATGTATTTAACACCAAATTTCCTGATTTAGATATATTTGATTTGTCATACTTTAAATTTAAGAAAACCCTATTAGACATATTAGTTAGAAACCAGTAAATAAATAATGTATATAATAATAAGATTAACATAACATAAGTATTAACCCGTGGATATCTGTATTGGTTTTACTATTATTAATTCATATCTATATACTTATATACATACTACATTGTGAAACTGTTTGTATTCCAAATAAAATAAAATAAAATTACATAGCCAACAGAATAATATGTAATTGTTTATCTACGTTTATTTATATTTTTACTAGCGACCCATACCGGTTTCGCTTGGATGTATTATAAATCTTTAAATATCGGCTTATTCTGTACTATAAAACATATAAACCTTTCTCTTGAATTATTCTATCTATTGCAAAAAACTCAATTAAAATCCGTTGCGTAATTTAAAATATATAAGCGAACACACGGGACGGTAACTTCATTTTATACTGTATGAAGATAAGATAATTGTTATGACGTTTTTTAATAAAAAAGTGAATTTGTTTTCATTCTCCTCTGGTTTTAACATATGGAAATAGTAGTCAAACTCTTTGGTTGTAATTATTTGCAATGCAATTTTATTAAGAAATTCGAATGGTAAATGTATAAAGTCAATGTATAAAGAATTAAATAAGAGTTTTTTTGTTAATTTTAAGTTAACTCTGCAACATAGACGTTGATAATTTATCTTCTGTTAGTAATTAATGGGTGATCGTGTTTAGTTCAATTAGTGATTAATTATTATACACATTTACAATAACCGTTTCACGAGTAAACAAGTTTTAGTGATTAATCACATAGGTAAGTAACATATTTTATATTAGATACACGTAGTACACCTAATAGAGTTCGATAACTCTTTTAATATCCTCATTTGATTGGTCTGGTCGTAAGCTTATGCTTTATTAAACCCAATTGTACCTATACTGTCTTAATAATTAAAAGCTGTGTATATAGAATAATAATTTCATACAGACTATTTGCATTATCAGTTTAAAAATGACTCTAGACTAAGCATATGAATGCTTAAGCATTTTACATTAATCCACAATCAAAATAAATGCTAAATTGTAATAATTTTAATCAGATACTGTCCTTGTGTCTGCATTTTGTCTGCATTTTGACTGCATTTATGTTCGTATTATATACTGCATACCAATTTACTTTTCTACACAGTGTCCGAAGGACGTCTATTGAGTGATATCAAGATATCAACTCGGTATCTATAACATCTTCAGAGCGATTATTAAAACATACATTTCAACTGCAAATACAAACGTTGTTGTTTCCGATAATTTGCCAAAAATATACCGTGCGTTTGTTCGAGTAAATTATTTTAGGAACTACCATACTTATTGAAATTACTTCACAGATTTTTAAGCGATACTGCTGTCTAATGTTTTAATACAGACCTGATAAAATGTTCAATACAACAATTATTTCTGTACATTGTGCAAATTAACTTTTCCAATTTAAAAATGAAATGTATAGTCCGGACCTATTATTTATAAGTAAGTTTATCTTATTTTTAGGTGTCATTGAAAGTAAGAGGCAAAGTAAGGAAAGTATCTGTGTACTTTGAAGGGCAACAATAACTTCGTAACATATAAATATGATAATGTGTACAAATAGGTTCTACTATAAAATTATAGGGCAGAGTTAAAAACATAACTCTGCCCTATAATTTTATAGTAGAATCTCACTAAAAAAACTTCTAGAAGCTGAAATAGTAGAGACGGTATGTGCTATGGTGATTTTGTGTAGTCACCTTCTAGTAAAAATACGGCTAATCCGATTTCCTCAAATTTTTTTACTTGTCAAATATCAATTTATTGGTAAATGCGTTTAATTACCTTTTTTCCAGCATAGGGGACAAACAAGCTTGCGGCTCAACTGATGGTAAGTGATTATCGCCGCTAATGAGCACCCGCAACACTAGGGGAATTGCAAGTACGTTGCCGGCTTTTTAAGAACTAATAAGCTCTTTTCTTAAAGGTTACAAGCCTTCCGCGTTACCTACCTCTGTCTACCTATATCTGCCGCAAGCAGCTATACATAATTATTATTCGATTTGATGGATGGGAGATGGCACTGAAATTATTAACTATCAAGGCATTATATTACTAGCGTCCCATGTCGACGTGATGACTGTGATTCTGGTCGGAGTGGTGGTAGGTATATTTGGGCTGTCTGTATATTTGCGATTGTAGTTATAAAAAAAGGTGCGAGGGTGTGCGTGTAAGTACTGACCGATGTCTCTGGCGCGGGTACCAGCCGCGTGGGGGCCCGCCCAACCTCAGGAGGTCGGCGCCCGTGCACACGCCGCCCGCGCCCATCACCGAACCTCGGCCGTAGCCACCTAGTGTTACACTGCTTCCTGTTTCGGACAAATTAAAAATAAATAATTACTCTTGACGGCCATGGAGGTCAAGCGGTTTAGCACACCGCTTTACTATCCTTTACAATGGTCGCGGCTTCAATTTCTCGTAAGCTACAAACATTTGTATTCACAAGTATGATTGTTAAATCGGTTTGGATATTCTATGTATATTATGTATGTATTTAATAAAAGAAAATGTATCCAAGTAATAATATCAGTTGTCTGGTACCCATAATACAAACTCTGCTTAATTTGGGATAGATTATTATAGATGGCTTTGTGTTGTGCAAGCATATTACTTCTGGACAACTTACGTCATTGAACAATAATGATAACGGGATTACAGGATAACGGGCATTCCATCTCAATCCTCTGGAATGGTAACACAAGTGGGGTATCACCTCATCAAGTGGACCGTCAGCTTTTTAGCCATTCTAATTACATATAAAAATCTAGTCTCAAACAAAGTAAGGTTTGAAGTACAGGTACTAGACAATTGATACATACTTAAATATATCTTGTTTAAATACCTGTAGGCAAACAAGTTTTTCTATCAATCGATAATAGAAACATCTGAATACATTATTAGTACATACATAATATACATAGAAATCTATCTGGTATACTCAACCTCAACTTAGCTTAGGACTAGCAGACGCTGTGTGAATTTTCCAATATATTATATAGATAAAAAACAAACCATACCAAATTAAAATTTTGGTATATATGTGAATTCTTATATATTCGTATGTATTTACGTTTAGTCACATTTTAGTAACATACTGGTTATTTAGGTGCAAAAATTGTTTACATAGCTCGGACTTTTAGGCTGATCAGGCGTTATTTATAACTATATTGTCCAATAAAAAAATGTAGAATTCTTTAAAAACAAACCTGTTTACTATCATTATATACAAAGTTTATTATTTGAACCCAAAAGCCAGAACTGTTCATACTAAATATAACATGTGATCGCGATGTTTGTCTGAAGGTTATAACAGTTATTTTTAGTTTTCCATTAATACTTCTTGAGGATTTTTCTCAGTCTTATGAATACTTTTATTGGATTTCGGCTTGGTTTACCTACATTTTAGAATTAGCTACCTGTATGTAAGTGCACACTCCATTTTACTAGACATTGTTGAAAATGTCCAGTAAAGAGTAATATTTTATAGTCATCAATATTATGTAATTATAAAATTAATAGTAGGGATAGTGCTAATAAATATGACGTGCATGATCAGCCGAAACCTCATCTATCCGACATTAATAAATTATCCAGTTTTTTTTATCACGTTATGAATTAATACACAACAGCTTGGATAATGGAAATGATTTCATAGTAAGATAAATAGACTTGCCTATGGATTGCATAGAGTTCATGGTACTATTTCTGGGAGGTCCAGTAGAGTTTCTGGGTGGCGTACGGGGTACATCGCAGCCACGAGCGAATACTGGCGTCTCGGGCAGGCTCGCCGACGTCTGTAGGGGACCGCGCCCAGCCGCCGCCGCTTCTCGACTCTGTCGTTGCAATGTGCGCCTCCTGGCTCCACTCGCTCCTATATCTGAAAGTTGATGTTTTACACCGATTAAAAATAATTACGTCTAAACCTATACATATAATAAAATTGGAACTGATTGCTGCCTATATACGAAATATGTAATATAAGAACTATTGGGAGACTATATCGATGTAATTTTTTTGTTTTTAGAATTTTGTCTGTTTGTTGTGCGTTTGTGTGCGCAAATCTCAGAAATTTCTTAATCAATTTGTATGAGGTTTTCACTAAAATATTGCGGTATGCCTATAAGTATTATAATATAAGCCTGATAATAAATTATTATTATTATTATATGTTAGTGTTTTTGTTTTCGTTTAAATTTGCTGGGTATTATTTGACTTTAGTGCAACAGCCTCAACAAGAGGCACTAAAGTCATAAAATAAACCAAAATGAACAAAAAAATCTTAAACGAACTCTTTACAGAACAGTTAAGCTCTGAAATTGGTTATTCATTAAAACTATTTACTGCACTAGATTGGTAATGAGAATAGATTTAATTATCTACTGCAATACTTGTAGATTGGCAATACTACAATTCGGGCAAGACTTAAACATGAATTCGCATTTTCTTGAAGAGCCAATTTAATTTTATGTACGTATACAATGCAAAATTAAATAAGCTTTTTTGTTTCTTCACAGCTAGGCCGACAAATTACCGAGACTACTGATTTAATGTAAATTTCTTATTTCTCTTTCATTATTGTATTGCTCATTCTAAATAATCACTCGGAAACGGTAAATAAATCTGAATGAAATCAACTAAAAAGTAATTTGCTAATTGTATTACATGTAGTATAAAAGCCCTTTGTAGATTAGTTTTATCGATAAAATTCAATATTGATTATTAAATAAGTCAATATTGAATTTCATAAGATGTAACGAGAAAAATAATTAACCATTTTTATGAACGAAGCGTACCTGTTGGCAAAGTTCTTCTATCTGTTGAACCAGTTTTGAAGTTACTGCTTCTTCGGTTTTTATTATAGCTAGTCTCCATAGATCTCGTCTTCAGGCTATTTGTGGTATCGCGATGTGGCGGAATTGCGGGAGGTTCAGAAGGTCTATAAATAAATATTCTTTTTAGTTAAGCTGCATTTCACTTGGTCGCATATTTATTTGATTCCATAGAAGTAATTAAGTTAAGAAATTATAGTATTTGGTTAACAAACGTAACTATATTAACCCATTAAATCATAAAAAATATTTGAGATTAGTTTTGTGTCTTACAAATTAATCTATATAATATATGATATTTATTTCATCTTAACTATACCTAACTTTTGTAAAGTTACGTAACTTTACAAAAGTTAGGTATAGTTAAGATGAATAAAAATAAATATATAACATTAATTAAACAAGAGCAGCTTCGCTTACCTTCTTCTGCAATCCATGGTTGGTGTTGGCAATGTATCTGCTTTCTTAGCATGACGTTTTTCTGTGGGTTGCATTATTTCTGTGTATTCATCCTCCACTTCTTGTACTGGTGAGGGTGGAAGTGGGGGGAATTTGGGAGATTCTGGAGTCTGTGGCAAGGGCCCCATATCGTGACCCAAATTGGGTGAAGGCGGTAGTGGATGATGCCTGTACGAGTGTTCTACGATCTGAACATTCAAAGGGAAGTCACCACCACTTGATACTGCTGAATCCGACGATGACGGTTGCCTGATTAAACTAACTGGTACATCTTTTGCACTTGTCGATTTATGCATACTATTCGATCTTCTTCCTGAAGAGCGGTCACGCCGTTCTATTGACCTTTGATTCTGTATCTCATTATGACTTGACGATTTTTGTATGTCGTATTTTTTTTGTCTTTCTCTAGAACTATAACGGAAATTGTTTTCTAATATATCTTTAGATACATCATCACAGTATTCATCCTTATGTATATTCCAGTCTTTAGGTATATATGGAGTAAAATGTTTTTGGTCCCGACCCTGATTTAGTATAGCGCTAATATTGTTTTCAATCTTTCGGAGCGGCGATGTCTCGCCACTCGACTCAGGTTCTGCGCTTTCCTGGTCTTCCTCCTCTTCGACAGTGGTAATAAGTGCCTGGCGACTGGCACTATTGCTCTCTACTTCCGCACCCAAACTAGGCAATGAAACAACTCTTACCATATTAGGAGGCACTGTATTCAGTTCATTCACAGTTTCATTACATTCCACTTGAGACGTTTCTTCAACTTTACCTTCTTTAATCAACGACTGTATATTATCAAAAGTAGACGAGTACTTTTTGAAATCAGTGAATCTATTTTGTGGAGATAACTTACTTTGGATCACATTACTTTTTGTAGAATGCGAGTTTTTATCACTAGGTATTTTTCTACTTTTAGGACTATGACCAAAATAGTCCTGAACAATGTATCTATCTTGACTATTATTAAGATCTAAACTAAGTCTCGATTTGGGTGAAGTCATTTCTTTGCTCAATCTGGAATTTGGGGTGCAAAGATCTATACTATACCTAGAGTTAGGCGTGTTGAGTTCTCGACTTAACCGTGAATTTAAATCGATACTGTACCGAGACTGAGGTAGACTTAGATCTGAACTTGGTCTAGAATTATATGACCCTACAGACCCTGATCCACTGATTGATAAACTTGATCCATCTATTGATTTGTCTGTATCTAAACTTCTGTTTAAACTATGACTATGTAGTAAGTTGCTGGCATTGGATTGCTTACTTGTGTTTTTATTGAAATTTGGTAACTGTTTTCGATTTTTGCCCTTTCTTATAACGTATGTACCACATGCTAGATCCTGATGACGTCTGCTGTCTGCTTCAATATCTGAAGTAGGAGAAGCAAGAGGTTCACAATGTGTAAGGGGTGGAGGAGGTGGCCAGTAATCGTCTCCCCAATCGTCATCCAAACGTTGGGGTATGGAACTCGTACTAGAATGTGACTGATCACCGGACTTTCTTCTTCGTCTGCCAATTACCTGAAATAATTATCGTATTTATAAATACAGGTAGTGGAATTTACATGGTTTTCATAAAACTATACAATTAACTGTGAATTATAAATCCAAAATATTAATATATCAAAATATCTATTTCTAAATATAACTAAGGTAAGGTAACTTCTCAAACGATTTTGGACTTAGTAAAATCTGCGACGTATACATGTGTTATTATTGTTATATAGTATATATAGCCATACCTTAGTACTTCCTGGAGTTAATAGAGGATCATCACCATCGAGGGACACTTCCCAAGCTATGGAATTGCGTTTCGAAGGCGTCGTAACTGCAGGCGGCGGCGGCGGGAAAGATTCTTCCAGCGAATCGTCTGAAAAGTGCTCGTCGTCGTTGCTTCTACCAGAATTTCTCCTCCTGCTTCCCTCCATTACGTCCTCCGTAGAGCCTCTACACACTTCTCTATGCCTCTCCATAGAACCTGCGAGAGTACGAGGAGGTATTCTACCTTTGGGCGACAGCATCTCTCCGTCGGACCTACTGTCGCGTTTCATATTGTTTTTCTTCTCAGAGCCCTTAGTATTGGAAGGTGATAATTTCTGTATGCTGTATGTGGGCGAGTGTAATTGCTTATTATATTGTATATTTGGTCCTGGATATATTGTAACTGGATGTTCATTATACGGCTTATCATTAAATTCGCTCGAGAATCCCATAAAAGGTATAACTGGTGGATTTTCAATACTAGGTGATTTCTTTTGATTTGTTGGAGGTGCAGTGTGTCTTGGAGGTAACCAGGCGAGGGCACCTTCAGGCTGCGGCGGTCGCGAGCCGTGCTGCAATGAGGAGAACCGGTATGCTGATACCGGTGGTTGCTGGAGGTGGAAACCGTTTATATCACCATCCTTTTCCCAACCATACGGACGCTGATGTCTTGTTTTTGGCTGCAATTATAATAATATAAATACTATATACTGAAATCTATATATGGTATAGAAAAAAATTTTTTTACATGAATTAATAAACTATAATAACTGTAAATTATTACTGATTTAATTTTACATGTTACTAATTATATTGAATTGTCCTATACCAATTAATAATTTTCACCTTATTTTAATTCTGAACTTTGCAATTGAAGCAAGATGGTAATTATATTATATAATTCACTTTTGAAGGATATAGAGATTATATCCAAAACCTATCCAGGTGTATTGTATATTGGATTGAGTATATGTTATCATAATATTATTAGAAGATAACATTATATACAATTTGGAGTTATTTACGCCATAAAATCAGAAGCATAAAAAATGAACTTACAAAAGTTGTTTGTGTTGCTGTAGTGATCCCGTTTACACTAATGATTGAATCTAATTTTCCCTCGGGATCAGGCTCGACCAGCGGATTTCGTTTTGCAGAATTCGCCGGCGACACTCTGAAATGGATTGATTGCACACAACTTTAAAACAAAAGGTATAATATTGGAACAACTTAGGTAAGTGATATTGAATTTAGAATACAATAAGATTCTTAGAGCGTAAAGTACCTACATTGTTGTTAATATCTGAAATCTGTGAGAGACAGAAAGTTTTCTAAAGGAGCTCAACGTTTGAAAATGTTATTTACAATTTACTAGTAAATATAATGCGATAATCTAATTTATCCGAATCCGCTGTAATTGAAATCTAATTTTTAAACCCTTTCAAACGGGCCATGTTTAGTCATTAATTAGATCCATATTTTTTCTAGTCCATATTATTGTTTATTTAAGATTACTTGTGATTTTAATATTAGTTAATAAATGGAAAATTTTAATTAACCCTTGTTATTTTTTGTGAATATAGAGTTTGTACAAAATTATCCCAGAAGTAGCTTTACCTCGTCTGGCTGAGCCCTGTCAATTAGGTTTACGTTCATAATCTAAGAACAGGAATAATATTCTTTTCATTGTTTTAGTATTAAATTACCTATTGTTTAGATATTCTTTGTATTGATTTTGTTAAGAATATAGCCCACCTACATGTCTACGTAGACTACGTAGGAGGCGCCTAAACTAGCACTTAGCTTGAGATCTTGTCCTAGAGACACTTCTTATCTTCTAAATACAATTATTTTCTATTTTAACCATTTTTATTATAAAAGTATAATAACAAATTAAATTGTACTTTGTATTGTATTTATTAATAGTGTTAAAACTTAGAGTTAATATACACAATAAATAAGATATTGCAATTTTTCCAGAACTTGGATTTTATATTTAACATTTAATGTTCGGCACATTCTAGTAATACAAAATGCGTATGTATATAGATTGCTATGGCGGGATCTTTAAACTTTCTTCATTTTCATTCAACGTGTACTTACTTTGGAAGTAGTGTAGATATGATTCTTTGTGCCTCTTCTGGTGGTGGCGGTGAGTGCGGCGATGGCGGATCAGGCGGCGAAGGCTCTTCGTGTTCCTCGGTCGGATGGAAACCAAGCGCAAACTTCGCCCTGGAAACATTTGTTATGTTTTCTTAACTATTGTGTATTGTTTAATATAAGTTTGAGTGTCTGACCCATATTTCGCAACTACGGCACAGAGTAATCAGTATCTATTTAATTTCGGTTATCGGTTGCTATTCGGCCGAAGGGTATACTGACCTATGTTGGCCACCTTAAATTTTGCGGAGTTATTCATTTTCCAATGTCTAGAGATAGATTTTATATAAATTCGTCTGTGTGGGTACCTCTGTCTCATGGGTACCTCTGTCTCATCGATTTCAGCGACTAAGCAGCATGTTTCGTAAATAATGTTTTGTATGACGTATGAGATACGCCAGTGTAGATATATAGATAGCCAAATAGAGAATAGAGGCCAGACACCTTAGTCCTCAGAAAAAATAAGCATAGCTGTATAACGGGCGTCACGTTACAATGTGAAGTCTGTGGTGCTATCAGGTAGGCCATTAGTTTGTTTGTATAATAAAATCTATCAACAAATAAACTGTGCTTTGCCTACTCCGCAGTTACTCTTATAACTAAATTGTAAATATCTATAAATGGCCGGTTACAGAACAAATTAATGAAACATTACCATTAAAACTTTACTATCTAAATTCTAAATGGTTTAGAACAAAGTTGTTCTCGTATATATCTGTATACGCTTTAATCTCTACTCGTAATGGCTATTTCGAATAGTTCATACGAAAATTTAGTAAATACTTTCTATATATGTTTACCAGTGTATAATATAATTAAAATAAATAAATAAATATTAATTGATATCAACCACTATGCATTTTTTAGATAATAGGTAGGCTGTGTATGTTCTCATTATATAAATCACGTTATTCATTAGTTTAGTTGTAAAAATGTATAAAAATATACAGACCGACATACTTTTGCATTTATAATAGTAATAATAGAGGAACTTACCGTCTGCCGTTCATGCTCATGTATCCATCGTCCTCGGAGGTATGTCCTGCAAGAGGTGAGTCGTCGTCGGTGGCAGGCGTGGCGGGGGTGGCAGGTGTAGCGGGTGTGGGCGGCGCGCGCGCCTCCAGCGACCTGGGTTCCCCCTCGTCGTACTCACTCAGTACTTGGTCCAGTAGCTCCAATGATCGCTGCACATCATCGCACCCTCTGGAATAGAATATTTAATTTTTTACAATATGAATAGATAATTTTTGGTTTCAATATAAAATTAAACTCCTTCGTATAAAAGAAAAATATTAACCCGTAATATATACACAAATATAATAGTTATATTTTCTTTAATGGGTAACAATGAGATAGACCACCTCTTATTCTCCACTGCAGCCCAGTGTCTGAACCCGCGTGCGCTGATGACATACAGAAATGATATGATAATACGAGTATACGTTAGTTAGCCAATCGTAGCGAATTCGCCTATCAAGGGACATTGCTAGCAATATGGCTACTATACCCTATTATTTATAATCCCCTACGCCCAACAGTTACATTGAGAGTGATACCTGTAGTCGATGAAATGATCTAATAAATTGTCATAGAGATAACAAAAAAAGTTCTATTTTAATTATGACTTACTTGCATATTTTTGTTTAGTTTTATGGTCATTAGCCATAAAAATAAAAAAAAATATGCAAGTAAGTTAAGATGAATTGGCTAAGCGAACCCAATTTGCAACCCTGCAATTTCCGCGGCAGTTTTCTAGTTGGGTTGTCATACTAAATAAGTCGGTAACAAGTAGCGGCTAGCGAGGCGAGGTCGCGCCAGTCAATTCTCCGAGATAATGGTAAATTGAACTCATTTCCTTCACGAGCACCACTTGGCCCGTCTTGAGAACACTTCCTTTAACTGCACCATTAGAACCGAATTAGAGAATAACGGTATAGTTACATCATTCACAAGTCATATACCATTATTGGGTGACCCTATCTTACTGTACTTTCTAGTTACACAATGACGTGTTACTAATAAAAGGTAACAGATATTTTCTGTCCATTGTATAGGTTTTATTTTTGTTTCCAAAGGGCATTCAAATAACATTGTCCTGTGCTCTGACATTCACGAGTAGGCGTAACTATTCTATCTAGGCATCAGAGATAAAGGTCACAACAACGTCTGAAAAACATTTTTTTTATATCACATAATATTACCTACGTTTTGAGCAAAATGGATTATCATTGACGTTATTTAGATACTTATTAGCGAACACATGGATACACACAATATATTTACACTTAATCGATAATGCTGACGATATAAAGAAAAATAATGTTATTTTTTTATTTTATGTAGGTAACTATGAAAGTATTATCAAAACCATGAAATTATATTTCTTTTATTGTAGCTAGATATTATCTCCTATATAAAATATGTATTTTTTTATATATTGTTTTGTTATATCACTTCTGTCACTGCATTCTGCTGTATTAAACGTCTATAAAGATCTCTATTTCTTATTATTATTACCTTAACTATTATACGATATTCAAATGCAACCTTATACACAAAATGCTCAAAACAAGGCATGTAAGAAGGAAAGACTGTTTCTAAGGGAATTCATTATGTTTAAAAGCAGCATGTCCTCAGTGCTGAAAGTGGTTCTAGAGAGAAGCACAAAGCAACCCTTTTGAAAGGAGAGGTGCTCTTGCATCTCTCGATAAGCCCTCCCTAAGTACTGCAGCGGGGTTGCTGGTCTCTATATTTGTTCAATACACTACATTAAAACTTGTGCCATTTGTCAGACACAGTATAAATATTATTTTAGAAAGGCATTAAACTGAAAATCGCCTTAAGTTTTCGGGTTTAGAATTAGACAGGATTAAACGTCACACACAAACTTAAGAGTTAAATACGTACATGTATATCTGTTACACATATATTTTATTATTATTGCTATTTCATATGCTTTTAAAATTACCTCGTAATAAAGTTGTGTGTGTATACAAAGTGAAATTAAAGTAATTTAATGTAATGAATACATTAGGAATTTAGGACACATTTTCTGTTTAATTATTTGTTGTGTTCATTTGCATTAATTATATTAAGAAGTACCTATACTAATAATAATGATACAGAGACATTATTAATAACATTTCAATAAAAATCATAAAATGAATATGCATTTATTTATTTATCTTTATACAGTATAAACTAAAGTGGCTTTCGCTGTCTGTTCGACTAGAACTTAAACTACGCAACGGCTTTTAATGCAGTTTTTAGCAGTAGATGGAGTGATTCAAGAGTAAGGTTTATATGTATAATGCATGTATGCACACCCGTATGAAACCGGGGCAGGTAACTAGTTAGGTAAGAGCAATTTAACGTATAACGTTACTAAATTCAGTAAGATATAGTTAGTTCGAATAAGCATGTAATACAATCATGAGGAAACTCAATATTCCGAGCGGTGTCCGCTATCTCCAGTGGACTGGCTTGTCTCCTCAGGCTATCTCCGGCCTCGATCAAGTGGTTCATTAGTGCTCACCTCGGTAATGATCTCTGCTATATATTCAAGTGTCAGTAAACAGGCAAGGACTGGCATTCGACAGGGGGATGTTTTCTTTTTATCTGATGTTAGAAGTTGTGGAATTCAAATGTCATCTTGTATTAATTAGAGTAATTTGTAGAAATATATTTTTAGGTATTATTATAAATATAAAATAAAATGTACAACATTATTATTTTTATTATTATTATTATAAAATAAACATATTATATATTATAAACATTAAACTTTACATATCATAAGCGTATAGGAAATCATGTAGTATTATTAAAAAGTTTTAATTTTATAATCCAAATGAGAATTGAAATATGCATCTACGACATAAAACAGATAAATACCAGTTTTCTTTTTGAAGGAAAAAGTAATTTAAATGTTTCTGTGAAAGGCTAATTATATACAAATGTTCAGAAACCCAGTAGAATTTTACTTACCAGTTAAATAATGCACACCAAATTTATCGATGAAAAATAAAGAAATAGTCGAATTATAAAAAATCTGAGGTTATTTTATTCAAAATATTTAGGTAATATAAGACATTATGTGTTGGTGGTGTCTATGTATATCTAGACGACGATTACTACTTTCCATCAGTTAGACTAAATTATTTGTGATTCCAATTACATAAAAAAAAACTATGCCATCAAAATAGGTGTTGCCAGCTCAACTGACATGACAAGAAAACTAGACAAATTGTTATAAAATGTGAGGCGGTTAGGGTTTTACGGTATCGCTGCCTCGTGTAAGAGGCCTACTTGTGGATGGTTGGAGGAGCCGCGGGTGGCTGTGCCTCAGTCTGGCGGCGTATTACATTGTATCGCCGGCTGCCGCCACAAAGCACCGCACTCAATGTGAGTGCCGCGGCGGCGCGTGCCAGCCTTTGTTGTATTTCACCCATACGTACTCCTTTACTTTCGAAACTTTATAGCGAAACTTTAAAATTGAGTTTATCCATTTAACTTGATTTAGTGTACGATAGGTAATCAGTTTTATTTTATTGGCTGTATATGTTTAAACGAAACATAGTATCTACAAGGAAGTGAATGTTGTCAGTTAGTAGTTTCACTATTAACTTAATTTTATATTTTTGACAATTTGGTTACAAGATAATTTTGTCCAAGATGAAATTATTTTTATAGTTCTTGTCGCAATTGAGATGTTTAACTTTTCCGGTTATTATATACAATTAAAGGAGTGGGTAGCATAGTATAATTTATTAAATTAGTATGAAAATAAATCTAAGATATTCAATTGTTTATTGTTTACTAAAGAAACCTAATAATAAAATTATTGTGTAATGAAACGAATATTATTCTTATATATTTAAACATCCTAGTATTCTATGACAACAAAAAAAATAATGACAACAATTTAAGAATAAATTACATTGCAGGCTGCGATAAAAGGTAACTGCTGCTTGTATAACACTTTTCTTGCTATTGTCGTGGCCGAATAAAAAGTAATGTTACGTTATAGCATAGTTTACAGCATCGTAGGCCTACATCTTGATACGGTGATGTACAGCCTTGGCCAAAAGTATTAGGCACCCCAGAAAAATGCACAATTCATGTTTACCAATTGAACAATCAATAAATGCTTATCTTAGATGGCATACCGGGGTCACAAATACCTTCCTAGAAAAGCAAACCTCTATTTTTGATGGTCATAAAACACCTGGTGACTGAAAAGAAAGGATTCGATTTTTTGCATTATTATTAGTCAATGTTTGGTCACTTGTATTCAAGACTCTAACTAGTAAACAAGTTTTTATATTTAATTCAGTGATTAAATTGACGCCTAATTTACTTAAAAATACCGAAAATAAGTGAAATTAGTTTGGAAAATCTAGTAAAAATATAACTTCTCCATGAACAGGGGAAGTCGCAAAAAGAAATTACTAAGTTAGTGAAATGTTCGCGATTCGCCGTGCAATTTGCCATCAAACGGTTTGCTCAGGCTGGCAGTCATGCTAATAATCCAAAAACAGGCAGAAAACGTGTGACTTCGAAGCATGAGGATAGAAAATTAATACGCGAATCTATGAAAGATCGGAAGAAAACATCATCAAACCTTGCTGCTGCTTTGTCCGAAGAGGCTGGAAAGCCAATAAGTGCTCGGACCACCAGAAGACGACTTCAAGAAACGGGCTTAAAAGGATACAAAGCCAGGAAGAAGCTCTGGCTTTCAGAAGCTAACAAAAGAAAACGGCTTGAATTGGCTCTACGGCATTGACATTTTAGTGAGGAAGATTGGGCCAATGTGGTGTGGTCTGACGAATCTAACTTTGAAGTAAGTAAATTTTACTGCTTTTGTTATTAATAATCATTGTCAGCTATTTATTTTACTGAAATAATAAAAGTTAGGGTAGTTTAAAAATTCTTTTTATTTTAATTTTTCAACAGATATTTGGAACGCCAGGTGTGACCTTCGTGAAGCGACGTGTGGGCGAAGAATACCATTCAGATTGTGTTGTACCGACGGTAAAGCACGGAGGAGGCAGCGTAATGATCTGGGGCTGCATGGATGCTCAAGGGGTTGACGAAATGTTTGTTTGTGAAGGTCATAAGAACAGCGAAAAGTACATAAAAGTGCTTGAAACTGCGCTTATACCTTCGCAAACGAGTATTTTCGGCGATACCAACTTAGTCGG